TGTGGGGACCGTGTGCTCTAGTGGGGACCAATGTCTGGTCCCTATGGGTAGAAATGGTGTTTCAGGCTTAAGTGCTAAGGACTATGGAGTGAATTGAGTTAAGGTTAGACTTAGGGTAAGGTATGAATCCGTAATGCTTAGGGTTAAGGTAAAGGTCATTGTTAGGCTGTAGAAATGAATGGAATTCAATTGAAGGTCAGGTTAGTTTCTGGTTTAGGGTCTGGGTTAGTTGCTGGGTTAATGTCTGGGTGGTTTCTGGGTTAGTGTCTGGTTAGTTTCCGGGTTAGTGGCTGGGTTAATGCCTGGGTTAATATCTTGGTTATTGTCTGGATTAGTGGCTCGATTAATGCCTGGGTTAGTTGCTGGGTTAATGTCTGGGTGGTTTCTGGGTTAGTGTCTGGTTAGTTTCCGGGTTAGTGGCTGGGTTAATGCCTGGGTTAATATCTTGGTTATTGTCTGGATGAGTGGCTCGATTAATGCCTGGGTTAGTTTCTGGGTTAGGGTCTGGGTTAGTGTCTGGGTTTATGTCTGGGTTAGTGGCTGGGTTAGTGTCTGAGTTTATGTCTGGGTATTGGTTGGGTTAGTGTCTGGGTTTATGTCTTGGGTTAGGGTATGGGTTTGTGTCTGGGTTTATGTCTGGGTTAGTGGCTGGGTTAGTGTCTGGGTAAGTGGCTGGGTTAATGTCTTGGTTGATGTCTGGGTTAGGGTATGGGTTTGTGTCTGGGTTTATGTCTGGGTTAGTGGCTGGGTTAGTGTCTGGGTAAGTGGCTGGGTTAATGTCTTGGTTGATGTCTGGGTTAGGGTATGGGTTTGTGTCTGGGTTTATGGCTGGGTTAGTGTCTGAGTTAATGTCTGGGTTAATGTCTTGGTTAGTGTCTGGGTGAGTTTCTTGTTAATGTCTGGATTAGTGGCTGGGTTAATGCCTGGGTTAATATCTTGGTTAATGTCTGGGTTAAGGTCTGGGTTTGTGTCTGGGTTTATGTCTGGGTTAGTGTCTGAGTTAATGTCTGAGTTAGTGTCTCTGTTAATGGCTGGGTTAATGTCTGGGTTAGGGTCAGGGTTTGTGTCTGGGTTTATGACAGGGTTAGTGGCTGGGTTAGTGTCTGGGTTACTATCTGGGTTAGTTTCTTGCTTAGTGTCTGGTTGAGTGTCTGGGTTAATGTATTGGTTACTGTCTGGGTTAATGTCTTGGTTAGTGTCTGGGTGAGTGTCTTGGTTAGTGTCTGGGTGAGTGTCTTGGTTAACATGTGGGTTAGCGTCTCGGTTAGTGTTTTGTTATTCTTAGGTTAATGTCTGGGCTAGTGGCTGGGTTAGTGTCTTGGTTAACGTGTGGGTTAGTGTCTGGGTTAGTGTCTTGTTAATATTGGGTTAATGTCTGGGTTAATGTCTTGTTAATATTGGGTTAATGTCTGGGTTAATGTCTGGGTTAGTGTCTTGTGAGTGTCTGGGTTAGTGTCTGGGTTAATGTCTGAGTTAATGTCTGGGTTAGTGTCTTGTTAATATTGGGTTAATGTCTGGGTTAATGTCTTGTTAATATTGGGTTAATGTCTGGGTTAATGTCTTGTTAATATTGGGTTAATGTCTGGGTTATTGGCTGGGTTAGTGTCTTGTTAGTGTCTGGGTTAATGTCTGGGTTAGTGTCGAGTAATCTTGGGTTAATGTCTGGGTTAGTGTCTTGGTTAATCTTGGGTTAATGTCTGGGCTGGTGTCTGGGTTAGTGTCTGGGTTACTGTCTGGTTTAATGTCTGGGTTAATTTCTTGGTTAGTGTCTAGGTTAATCTTGGTTTAATGTCTTGGTTAATGTCTGGGTTAGTGTCTTGTTTAATGTCTTTGTTAATATCTGGGTTAGTGTCTTGGTTAATCTTGGGTTATTGTCTGAGTTAGTGGGTGGGTTAGTCTCTTGTTAGTGTGGGTTCGTGTCTGGCTTAGTGTCTGGGTTAGTGTCTGGGTTAGTGTCTTGCTTAACGTTTGGGTTAATTTCTTGGTTAGTGTCTAGGTTAATCTTGGTTTAATGTCTTGGTTAATGTCTGGGTTAGTGTCTTGTTTAATGTCTTGGTTAATGTCTGGGTTAGTGTCTTGGTTAATCTTGGGTTATTGTCTGAGTTATTGGGTGGGTTAGTCTCTTGTTAGTGTGGGTTCGTGTCTGGCTTAGTGGCTGGGTTAGTAGATGGGTTAGTGTCTGTTTAATGTCTTGGTTAATGTCTGGGTTAATGTCTGGGTTAGTGTCTTGGTTAATCTTGGGTTATTGTCTGAGTTAGTGGGTGGGTTAGTCTCTTGTTAGTGTGGGTTCGTGTCTGGCTTAGTGGCTGGGTTAGTAGATGGGTTAGTGTCTGGGTTAGTGTCTGGATTAATGTCTGGGTTAGTGTTTGGGTTAGTGTCTTGATTAGTGTCTGGGTTAATGTCTTTTGTTAGTGTCTGGGTTAGTGTCTTCGTTAACATCTGGGTTAATATCTGGGTTAATGGCTGGATTAATGTCTAAGTTAGTGTCTAGGTTAGTGTCTGGGTTAGTGTCAGGTTATTTTCTGGTTTAGTGTCTGGTTATTGGCTGGGTTAATGCCGGGGTTAATGTCCGGCGTTAGACACTCTCTCGATGACCCCCCCCCCCCACCCAGTCCGACGACTAGAGCAGTTGGTTAGGGGATCAAAGGCAATGCACGGGCCGACGCACGTTCGTTGGTTCGTGTCTGGGTTAGGTTCTGGGTTAATGTCTGGGTTAGTGTCTTGATTAGTGTATGGGTTAGTGGCTGGGTTAGTGTCTTGATTACAGTCTGGGTTAATGTCTGCGTTAGTGTCTGGGTTAGTGGCTGGGTTAATGTCTGGGTTAGTGTCTTGGTTAATGTTGGTTTATTGTCTGGGTTAGTGTCTTGTTTAATCTTGGTTTATTGTCTGGGTTAGTGTCTTGGTTAATCTTGGTTTATTGTCTGGGTTAGTGTCTTGGTTAATCTTGGGTTAATGTCTGGGTTAGTGTCTGGGTTAGTCTCTTGTTAGTGTAGGTTCGTGTCTGGCTTAGTGGGTGGGTTAGTAGATGGGTTAGTGTCTGGGTTAATGTCTGGGTTAGTGTTTGGGTTAGTGTCTTGATTAGTGTCTGCGTTAGTGTCTGGGTTAATGTCTTGTTAGTGTCTGGGTTAGTTTCTGGTTTACTGTCTGGTTAGTGGCTGGGTTAATGCCGGGGTTAATGTCTGGGTTAGTGTCTTGATAAGTGTCTGGGTTAGTGTATGGGTTAGTGTATTGGTTAACGTCCTGGTTAATATTTGGGTTAATGTCTGGTTAGTGGCTGGGTTAATGCCGGGATTAATGACTGGGTTAGTGTCTGGGTTAGTGGCTGGGTGAGTGTCTTGATTACACTCTGGGTTAATGTCTGGGTTAATCTCTGGGCTAGTTTCTGGGTTAGTGCCTCGTTAGTGTCTGGTTTACTGTATGGTTAGTGTCTGGGTTAATGCCTGGGTTAGTCTCTGGGTTTGTTTCTGGGTTAGGGTCTGGTATTAATATCTTGGTTAATGTCTGGTTTAGGTAATTGAAAAAGAAAGTCAATGAAAACAAACCTCTATGTCTGTTTAACCCAACAGAACAATAACCAAGATAAAATATAAACTTTGAGTTTAATCTGATCTAATGATCATATTGTTCTGTTAACCTTCAGTCACTCAATAATGTCCAACCAGTAACTGCTTTGATTGGGTTTATTCACCACATGCTTTTGATTACGTAAGAAGTTCTAACAGCGACACACAACTTTAACGACTGAAAATATAAAAGCAAACATGCAACTTAAATTGAAAAAATCCTCCACCTCTAAAGTTCGCTGTGAATTTGCCATTATGCTTCCAGTTATGCCTGGAATGGATAAAACTATAATGCTTATAACATCTTCACTGATTCCAGTAGTTCTGTTGAATTTATAATGTCTGTAAAATATAAGCACAGCTACCTACGGAGCCCGCTAACAGACTTGGGAAAAGAGATTTATAATGTTCGCTCTACATATCAATTTGATCTCTCGAAAAAAAACTAAGTTGTGTGCAAACTCACAATTTCCTAATTTTTGTCTAAAGCATAAAGGTGCACACAAATTAGTAAAGCATGATCCTTGTCCAGAGCAGCTTCTGCAGCAGTTAGAGGAACAATCCAACATGATAGAGAATGAAGGAGTTTAATTTAAAGCAGCTCTTATAATTCTGGACTGACGTCCTGCAGGCTGCTCTCCTCTCTACTAACAGAGGAAGGTCCTGACGTCCTGATAGATCCCATGGGCTCCACACTAACAGTTTAACACCAGCGCAGCATGAAGCAGTGAGGCACCTGAAGATCTACTCACGCTCTGAAATGCATCGGATCAGGTGGAAAACGATGAGCTTCTGCTGTCCAACACCTGCAGCCTCCTCCAGGAGAGGAAACAACATGTCTGACACTGAACCGTTCCATAGATCCTGATAACGAGCAGAGATGGTTCAATCTAGCCTGATTTCTCTACTGGAGCTTTTCAGGATATATAGTCTGCCAGGTTATATTCTCCTTTTCAGGTGTTTTGCTTCACTGCTAGCATAGCATCTGATACGGCATACTGATAAATCCTCTTATAGTTTCCTCCTTCAGGGGTTCCAGATAATAATGTTTGATCAAAAACTAGAGAAAAAGCTGCTTCGCCATCTTCTGAACATGTCTGAGCGCTTTACTCCCAAACGCTGCCTCCACTTCTGATGCTCCTGGTTCAGACGCCTTTATTTGTTTCTGTCCATCAGATCAGAACCTGCAGGAATAATTTATTTCTATCAGATGTTTGTGTTATCTGGATATTCCAGAAGCTCAGACAGGAGAACCGTGTTCCCTCCAGCAGTAGGATCTATAATTATATAGCATGGTGGTTCCTCATCCCCTGCCTGTTTCCACCCTGTTTAATAATCCCTGCTGCTAATCAAGGCTAGTTTGAAACCTCCAGAACTGTCACATTGTTCCACAATCTCTAGAAATTTGTCCCACAATCCGCTGCTTTAGACACTTACACTCTTTGGACATTCCTACAGCAAAGCACTTCTGCAGGCGGCAGTACTGGCAGCGGTTCCTCGTCACTTTGTTGATGATGCAGTTCTTGTCCCGGTGACACGTGTACACCATGTTCTTCTGAATGCTGCGCCGAAAAAAGCCCTGAGGAGACACACAGAGGACAGTGGTAGCCTCTGAACATCGGTTTTTAGACAGTCACATTTTTCCCATCAGTGCTACAAATGAACCTGATGTCAGAATAACCACACGCAGCCACTGCTGCTCAGAGCGTTAGCAGGTCCCTGCTGGGGCTCTGCACAGCCTCTAATGTTGGATTTAAGCTCAGACTGAGAGCGCTGTTGGGAACAGAGAAGAAGAGGCTGTGCAGGAGATTAACTGTGGTTCAGCTGCGCTGGGACGCACCGCTCCTGAACTTCACAAGGTGACATTGAGTTCTGTGGAAGAGCAAAGCTTCTCACTTCCAGATGAACGCTTTCATTAAAATTCAGGAAAACAACAGAGAAGTAAGAGAAAAACTGGCTAAGAATTATTAGCAACTTAGAATAAAATCCACCAGCCCGTCTAATATATTAGAGTTTAAATCAGGAATCGGGTTTTCCCAGAAAGTCACACAAACTCAGAGACCATTTATATAAACTATTAGAAGCTCTGCTTCCTGGAAATAATGAGCATGTGATGAGTGAGGAGATGGGATTGACTTCTAAACATTCAGCATCGGAGCAAATGTTCAGATATGTAGAATAAAAGTATTCACGCCCCTGAGATTTGTCCTAATGCCCCCACCCCCTCTCACATTTAGACATTGAGGGTTCTGGGTTGTTGATTGGGGGGTGCGCTGGCACTGCCTGTCCTCCAGAGGGGGGGTGGACACCCCCTTTGGTGTTCCCAGTTTTAATTACACCTGAGAACAACAACACAACATTTGAGCAGGTGCAGGGAGGACCGGGATCTTCTCACACCCCTATGGGGGGCCACCCAGGCCCCATAACAGCCCAAAACCCATTCGCTGAATGGGGTGTTCAGGGGGAGGAAGTGGCTAGGTGAATTATTTTGGGGGGGAGTGGGGGGGGAGGCTCTGGTTGGGTGGCCTTTGCAGGGCATGTTGGCCCCCATCCCCAGGGGGGCTTTTACTGGGGGTCGTCTGGTGCGGGTGCGGGGCCGGTCCAGAAGCAGGAATGAAATGGGTTTCACATTCACCTATTGGGTCATCCGGTAATCCCGGGACCAACCACCGGCGCCGTCGGGTCCTCGGTCCTGGGATTATTGGATGTGAGTGTTATTGTGTGAATGTGAGTCCGCATATGATTCGACTTCCCTTTTCTTAAAAAATTGGAAACAACCCAAATATAAATGTTATGACTGATTTATTTAACAACTGTGCACAAAATCTTAAACCAAAAGTTCTCTGACTTGGTCAACATGTAAAAAACTGCCACAGGTTCAGTCAGTGCAACTGGAATCTAAAATCTAATGTAAAATTCAGTACAATAAAATAAATTATGAAGAAGCTAAGAGAAAATAATGCAGCTTCTACATGTTAATTTCTAGACAGTCAAAATAAAACAGCCATCAGCTTTTTACAATGTTTAGTGCAAATGGAAATTAAACATCCATTATAAAAGCATATATATATATATATATTTTTTTTTTTTTTTTCTTCTTTTTTTTTACTGCTTCCTCCCAAGAATCTCAATTCTCTGCTAAGTGCGCAGCCCATCCCCCCCTGCCCTCCCTCCACTGGCTGGCACTTGGGCTCGCCGGTGCGCTGGTGGAGCTCGGGGTTCGGATGCCCGGGCGGGTTCTGGCTTATTCCTGCTGGTTGCTCCGCGGGGCCTTTTATCTCCTCTTCTTTTATTATTTCTCCTTTTTTCCTGTTTTTCCTTTTGTTAGAGTTCTGGTTCTGTTATGTTTTCTTCTTTTGGATGTTCAGTTTTGTTTTACTCCATGTTTTATAGTCTTAGTGGTTTAATTCTTATTTTGTTGTGTTTTCTGGTTATTTTCAGTTCTCAGGTTTTTATTTGTTGCCCTCTTGAGTTCTCCTTTTTTCCCTTTCTCCTTTCTTGTTTCTGCTCCTAATCTGTTTGTTAGCTCTCCCTTTGTTTCAGTCTCCCATAAATACTCTCTCTGTGCAGTTCTTTAGTGCCGGTTCCTCAACAAACATGCTCCGACTCCTTCTCTCTGAGCCTTCCTCCTTTTGATAGTGATTCCCCTGATGGGGCGACAGTGGCGTTGGATGGAGGAGTTTGCCCTGTAATCGAAGGGTTGACGGTTCAAGCCCCGACTCCGACTTTCATTGTCGTTGTGTCCTTGGGCAAGACACTTCACCTGCATTGTCTACTGATGGTGGTCAGAGGGCCCGGTGGCGCCAGTGTATGGCAGCCCCGCTTCTGTCAGTGAGCCCCAGGGCAGCTGTGGCTACAATGTAGCTCACCACCATGTGTGTGTGTGTGAATGGGTGAATGAATGTAGTGTAAAGCGCTTTGGTCAAGTCGCCTAACTTGAATAAAGGCGCTATATAAGTACATGCCATTTACCATGTCTCCTTGGTTTCTGGTACATTTAGTTTTCATTTTTTGATTTTTGGACTCCTGGTTTCATGTTAGTTTGGACTTTGTTTTCTTTTTGGATTTTTGGATCAACTCTCTCTGTTTTCAGTAAACTCATTTTTTAAATCCACAAGAAATTCACCTCTGCCTCCCTGCCTCTTCTTTTGGGTCAACTAACCATAACCAAATCGTGACACCTTTCCTGTTCTACTTCCATTCCAGTGTCCATATAATCTGTAAATCTCCCTGCATAATTATAATAAAGCTATTTAATTTCATAAATCAAGCGGAACACTGTGGCGATAGCCGTACTGCTCCGCTTGTGAAAGCAAAATCTGTTGGGCTCTTTTTGGAATCAAGACAATTATTCTTTTTTCCACATTGCCAGAAAGGACACTGTAAAAAAAACAAAAAATCAAAAGAAGAATTTAGACCTTCACAGAAAAACAAATGCAAATGAAAAAAAAGTTTGTAAACGGGGAAGATAGAGATCAGCTTAGTGGAAATAGACAACTGGTACAGAAGAAATTGTGGCCTTTCAGTTCTTGTTCTGTTTTTTTTTTTAATCAGGTTGGTCACTTTTCTTCATTGATGGTTTTTAATTTCAGTGAAAACAAAATTCAGTCTGACTTCACTGCGACTGTAAAAATCCGTCATTCCTGATTCTATGTTTGCCGTTTCTCACTTTGACCCACCGGCAGATGCAGGCTCTCTCAGTCAGCACATGGTCGCAACCAAAAAGTAAAACAATAAAAAAACTAGTTTGTTTTTTAACTTTTCTAGGAATTTAAATTCCATTCTGTAACGATGAGATCAAACTGATCATGATCTGTTCTGCATATATGTTAAAAAGGCAAAGGGATCAGGAAGCAAACTCTCAATGAAATAATGTAATAAACAACTAGAACCTTTAATCAAAAAATATTTTAATACTTCAACCAACAGGGTCGAGCAAATGGTACAAACAACAGAGCTGGGGCTCTAACAGATTGATCTGAAAGAGCTCCGATCTCTGGAATGCTTAATTTCTAAGGTCAGAGCGTCACCGTAAAAGATCTAAGATTTGAATGCAAACTTTAAAGGACCGAGTAAATCGCCTGAATGTTCAGCTGCGCTATGAGGAAAGGTCCCACTCTGAGGAGGACAAACTAAAGATGTTATTTTAGGTCGATGTCTAATCAACAAATGACCTTACAGGTGATGACGTTTCAGCACCATGGACAGCTTTGACAATGACCGGGCGTCTTTTATTTATTGAAGATCCTTTTTCATGGCCCAGGTTTCTCATAGGTGCTTCACAAAGATTCGCTTTTATGATTTCACATGAAGTCATGATCGCCACCTAGTGGACCTGAACATAATTCAATCATCACAGGAGAGTGAAGCCTGTTTGCTGCTAGGAAGATGGAAAATCATTTAGAGGTTTCTGAGCTTTACTGTCCACTAAAGTGGAAAATTCATTCATGAATATTTTCAGAATAGAAATCATGTTTAGGAAAATCCACAATGAACTCCACAATATAATCCTGGTACCAGATATATCACCTGTTTCACATTTTGACGCAATTAAACGCTGTTTTAGTGACAATTGACTGATTACTGCAGACTGAATTTCAATTATATCTGAGAGCAAACTGACAGACTCAAACTTTTGCATCGTTCTGGATGTTGCTATAAAAAACAACAAATAAGCAAATCTAGAAACTGATAGAGTCTCTCTCCAAACTAAAAACCGTCCAGATGTTTGCTTTGGTCAGACGCTGCGATGCTTCTATGTTGGACATCAATAATGGAACCTCTGGGAGCCAAAATGGAGGCAAAACAGAGGATCATTCATCGCTGGGATTTCACACAGGAAGCCTCGTCTCTGCTGATTGTTGTTCTTTACTTTGTGTTCATTTGCTTTTGTTGTGAGATCTTTGGAAAAATCACTTTCCATCATTTAGGCCTTTTTTCACTAGTCTGGTGAGGTTCGCACCAACGAGGAGATGGGAGGGTAGAAACTCCATTTACTATGGCTGCCTATGATGGATAGAGCTTGCCTTTTCATTAGTGAGCCAGGATGCATGATGGGTAACCGATTAGATCGCAGCACTGAGACGGCTGACTCTGGAGCCCATCTCACTTCAGCCTAAAGCATCCATCAATTGTGACGCCAACCTTCCAGCGACGGCGAGGCTCGTCAGAAGCAGCGCTCTGTGTCCTGCTGTGGCATTTGACCGAAGCGAGGTCAGCCCCATCCCGCCATCAGCGCATATCACCCCTGTTTTCAGCAGAAGCCTCATCCTGACAGATGCAAGCATCTTCCTGATGGATGACATTGGAAGCGTCCTGCGGCCCATGAGCTGCTATAAAGGTGCATTCAGGAACCAAGGCTGCTCAGGTACTTATGCCATTCAGAGCTGAGAGGATGCAGCTTACTTAGCCTTGATCATGTGTGTGGATGGATCAGTGATATTCAGTGCAGCATGCAAAGGGTCAGAATGAAGAGCTGAGAGCTGCTATGTTTGCCAAGGAATATTAAGATTTTACTGTCTGAACCTAAACCTGGTGGAAGCTCCAGGCTACATGGTTTAGAAAAACAACTAAGAAAGG